CGCGTGCAAATATTTGCATTTTGAAAATCAATAAAATTCTAATTCTTTCGTTAATTCGATCCGTATTCGACGAATTTGTAAGCAGGAATCTCGGACGAATCGTTGGCAAAGAATAAACATAGAAATAAACGTTATTTTTTAACCAATCGTGGACAAAATTTAATAATTGAATACTTCGATAAATTGCTTCGATAATTTAATCGTTCAAAACAATCGGAAATAATTGTAAAGTGAGAAATGGATCGACCATAATAACTACTAGAAATAAATGTTAGTTAATCGAGTATTTACTCGAAGTAGCTTTATTCGAAATTTTTAACTAGTTACTTTTCCAACTCCAACGTCCTGAAGTAATCGCAAAGAGGGCGCGATACGAGAGTTGGCGAACGAGGAGGGGAAGTCTCTCGAACGGGAATGTTAAGGAAACACAAGGATGAAGGGTATTAGCAAAGAGATACACGCAGAGTTTGACGGAGGCTGTCGCGATATCGCATTCTCAACGTCGGATTATCGTCGTAATTTCGCTAATCGAACAGAGCGATGACTTTGATCCGGGCGGAAGAGGCTTGCGCCATCGCGTACCGGATTTATACCCTCCCCGTGACATTAAGTGCGCGTATACAGAGGATCGATAACCTATATCCGGAAACATGATTTACCTTGTTTGAAGATGTTCCACCTCTGCAACGTTCGTTATTCCAACGTGATCCATCCGGTATCCCGGATACACTCGCTCTTCAAAATCGTATCGTTATTACGAATAAAATTTAAATTTAGTTTTAAAATTTAACCAAGCCTTTATCGTTCCTCTTTTCTCTGAAATTTTTAAAATTTTGAAATCTGTGAAATGAACACGGTTAAAAAGGAAAATAGCCATCTTTCGAGAGGGACGATCATCAGAAAGCTTTGGCCAGATTATTTATTAAAAAAAAAATAATAATAAATAAATAAATAAAAAAGAAGGAGAGGAATTTAATTTTTAAACGTGACTGGTTATTTCGCCCGGGCTTTTCAATTACTGGAAAGGGAGGGGGGCCGAATCGTAAAAAGTTTTTAAGTACTTTTTCCACGGCGGAGCTGCATTCATAAGGCGCAGGAACTCTGAAGTGCAGGAAGGAAGCCGTTGGCGAACGAGTGAAAGAGGGGGGGGAAGCGAACAGGGAAGTGAAACGCTCCGCGAATTTTCTCGCAATCGAGAAACTTTCTTCGACGACGTTGCCCTTTAATTAATTTAATTGACAGAATAGCCAGTGTGTTTACCAGGGAAACGCGCACAACTCGAGCCGGAAAAACGCGCGCACGAGCGTTTTTTATCCCCGACTAAAAGCTTAACCGGTGTAAAACGACAATGAATATATATATATTTTCACGTTTTAATCGTATTTATATTTAAATTGGTTACCAATCAAGTAACAAGAGTCCCTAGAATGTAATTATATTATACATATATATTTACATTAATAAAATAAATGTAGGATGGCAACTATATGGCGATATACGAGTGCAACATTAATAAATATATGTATAATATAATTACTTTCTAAGAACTTTTGTTACTCGATTGGCAATCTTCTTGAATACAAATACGAGTGAAAACGGTTAAATCTTCGTTCAAGGGAAAAAGAAGAGATGTCGCTTCGAGCGCGCGTATCTTTTATCTTTAAAAATATCGAAAAATATATATAACGTAAGTATGTTGGCATATATACGCGGGTTTATCGTTTAGAATGTAAAATGTAATCGCGCAGTTGGCACTTCATCCAAGCAATCGGGCGCGTGTTTGCCAAATTAACCATGCCAGAATTAAATTGTCTTTGATATTTGAATAATCTATTTGATCAAGCTGCCCCCTACCCACGAGCCCACGAATCCTCCTCGTCAAGTGTAATCACCGCTGGCGAGATGTTTTGCGAATCTTGATTAATACAATCGCTCGAGTATCACTGTGTATCGAGCTACATCGCACGATCGGGTTATATGTATCAGGATACTTAAGCCTGTGACGGTGTAATTACATTTTCTCGCTAGATTAGACTTAGTTCTCGGAGGATGATGATGCGTCTTTAAATCGGATATCCGGATATCGGATAAGATCAACGTTTGTTATTATGAAAACGGAGAAAGAAAAAATATATATGCCTTGACGCATTTTGCTATAAGCAAAATGTACGTTTTTTATATTACACGCTTGAATAATAAAAAAATCTTTTATCGATGTTATTTTTATTCGATGACAAAAGAAGAATGGGAGATCGTTGAATTGTAGCGTGGAAATTCGTGCAGATGTCGGTTGTGATCGAGCGATGCATCGAAAGTGAAAATGATATTTGTTAAAGGCAGAGTTGAAAAAGTAACTAGAATTAAAGATTTTGAATAAAGTTAAATTATTAAGTATTCTCTATCATTGCTTTAGAAGCGTTCGGGATAAGCTTTTCCCCTTAATCGATAAAAGAAAAAGTGCTTGATTCTCTTGATCTTGGTTGAATAAACAAATTTTTATTCGGGACGGTCTATTAAAGCTTCTATCACGGGTGATGAGAAAAATTTAATAATCGAAGTTATCTCAATAAAAAATTACCTCGACAATTTATCGTTCAAAACGTAATAATAATCGCAAATAATTGTAACTGCCAAACGAGATTATACGAGAAACGGATCGACCACAATGGACTACGAATAAATGTTATTCGAACATTTTAAATAAGTAATTACTTAAAGTAACCTCTTTATCCGAAACTTTTAACTTAATTAACTTTTTCAAATGCTCAACTTTCATATATAAATCATCTCGAATTGATTTCACTTCGAAAATTGTTCAACGTGGCACCGCTTCGTGTGTATTTCCTATCCCGAATGAGATCTATTATTAATTTTTCGCTTTAAAATTCGATTTATAACACGAACGCGAGGATAAAACGCTTACCCTTTCGATTTCCTTTCCTGCAAAATTTGTCGATCGATTCTGGGAAAATATGAACGCACCGTGCATAAAAATAAGCGAGAGAATTCGAGCGTCTTGCATACTCGTCGATCGATGGCTCGGTGATGAAGGACGAGGCGACGAGGGTGGGAGAGGAACGGAGATGGGAACGTTTCATCCAGCGATGCGAGACCCGGGGCAGAGAGCAAACAACAAATTTTCTACGGTCTTTCTTCGTTTTTTTCCGCTCTACTTCGCCATCGATAAATATCGCGCGAGCCCTCCTCCCTGCTACTTCCGTTTCGCGCGGCAACGGTAAATAAGAGACGAAATTTCAACCGTTCCGCTCAAAGCAATCGAATCGAGCTTCAATCGAGGACCTCCAATTATTAATTTCGCCTCGAAGAAATATATTGTCGCTCGATAATATCCGGACACTTTCTTATTTTCTATTGCAAAATGTAATTTGAGTTTTTTGTAAAGAAAAAGAAGAGGCATTATCTCATCATTGTTGGTTTCATCTGCATTTTTCGTTACTTTGCAATTATTTTCTTCGTATTTCGAATCTTTGTGATTTCTTGTTCTCAATCGTTTCTTTCTAATCAATTTTATATATATTATCTGCCAATCAGTTTCACGAATTCATTTCTATTATATAATTCTCGATATATCCTGTAAATACCCAAACGTAAAATTGTTTTAAATACAAAATTTCATTTATACTTCATTAACTTGACGCGTAACGTATCGACCAATATCGTAGAGCTGTGTAATCGGATTTAAAATCCGATGAATTCATTTTAGTTTCACGTTTCGATACGAAAATTTAAATTATAATCTACCCTATCGAACAAATATGTTATTAATACAATCACTTGTTGATATTTATAATTATAGTCAAAAAACTTTTTTTACGTTTGTAAATTTTTTTTTTTTCCCCCCAATTTAAAGTTCCCATTCAGAGAAGTATAAAGTTGCGATTGACTTTAAAATTCTAACAAATTTTATTCCATGCATTTTTTCTTTTTGCTAGCTTAACTTGTTCGAAAACATTTAAATTTCTCAATTTCAAATTCTGGAACAGCAAAAAGTAAAAAATTGCAAGTATTCAAACTTGTTCACGTGTAGTTATTTAAATAAGACAATTCGGCTTGTAAAATGGTAATATTAGTCTAGTCATCTTCTCAAGAATTGTCAGAACTGTCGAGAGAAGTGAAGAAAAGATCGAATAAGAAAATGGAGAGAAAGCGTGGATATATATATATATGAAATATTTGCGACATGACGTAGCGTTTGAACTTCGCGATCCTTCTGTAATTAATTTGTCATAATACGACTCTGGACAGTCGTCAAAGCGGAATAAATAAAGCGCATAAATCCAAAATGGCGGTGCATTAAAATTATATCGTACATTGTCCGGGCACATAAATAATCCGTCTAAAGTTTCTTGATTAATATTCGTTTCATCAACAACGGGGACAAAATTTATTCGAGTTTATTAAGCAAGAGAGAACTTCTTTGCGGAGTAATAAATGTTCGCAGAGTAGCGCGAAATATTTTGTATAAATAAATCTAGCTTTATTAAACCCAAAGAAACTGCTGTTCTTTAAAGTCGAAAGATTCTCCGGGAGCAGGAATGAACAATTGAGATTCTTCGAATTCTCCGCTCCCCGATTAAAAAGTACTTTTTACTTCTTATTGTCATTTCTGAAACAATTTCTATTCGAGAATAAATAAATAAAACTGAAGAATGAAGATAAAGGAAACTGTCCGATATTTGTATCTCGCGTGATTACAATTTATTCGAAGCGCAGCGTTGTAATACACTATGTAAAAGACATTAAAGAGGAATTTGCCGTTAGCTCGAGTTCCTTAAACTCTGGCTAAGTCAAGTTTCGCGAAGAAGCGGATCGCAGAAAAGCCAATGCATCCTATTTTCCCAAGTTTCGCAACGGAATACGAGAAAAGCTTTTTGTTTCTTTTAACGTCGTTTAGGATACGATAACAGGTTATGTTCAACATATCGACTTTTAACGACTCGTAAACTTGTAAAATCTTGCGTGAAATTTACTCTACTTACCTTTCGAGGGATTGCAGGAATCATAGTTGTAGAAATTAATTCGAAAAGTATACGATTCACTCTTCTTTCCAGTAACAAGAAATTAATTCGTCTCTGTAACTCGCGCGCGTTCGCAATTCGGGACACGGCAACGGAACATGGAGGGGATCGGATGACATCACACACGTGGCGACATCTTCGAGCGCAGGACGGTTCATTTCTGCCCGTATAGCCTGATGACAAATTGAAAAATGCCGGAGGAGAGAGCGTTCTATATCGCCTTCAATTATCTCCGACGGATGGTCGGGTCGGGTGAACGCAGGAGACAATGGGAATAATGGCGAAAGAATGAACGATCACTTTTTTCTAATTAAAGCCTGGTCTCCATAGCCACTTTCAGACAGCGTCGCGCTGTTATTACATTTTCGTGTTAGACTTTAGGTACAGACTGACGGAAAGACGGGGGGAGGGGAAGGGGGGCACGATGTACAAGCGAAATCGGAGAAGGGAAGGGGGAAAAAAAATGAAAGGAAGCAAACAAAGGATACGAATGCTGTCAGACCGATAAGGAAGATCGATGCAGCGGTTATAAATGAGAGACGAGGAATAAAGCATCGGACATGCTGTCACGAAAATTCTCGACAAAACTTGTCATCGGAAAATTCTATTTTTAACGAAACTTTCAGAACACACGGATACAATGGATTATGTACGGGGGCGATCTTTTTTTCCAGTTAGATTAAAAGATAGTGAAAATTTGAACAATCCTTTTCTGCGTACTGAAAGAAAGAAACATGGCAGAACGCAGAGGGGCAAGAGGAGTTCTTCCCTAGGACCGCCTATCCCCACTTCACATTCTTTGTTGGCAATCCTGACGCCACACGCTATACAATAGTTGAAAAGCTACAATTTGAACGTTCGAAATCGTAAAAATAATTTTCATTTATGAACGTTACATTAGGATAATCGTTTAAGATTGGAAGTTGAAATATTTTCGAAACTATCTATAATATGTCTAGCTTATTGGTATATGTAAAATTATCTTAATTATTTAAACTATTAAACTATCGTTACAAATCTACGCATATTGACGAGAAATAAGAAATTAGAATCCTGTGGATCTGTATATGTAACAAATGCCAAATGGTAGAAACAAGAAATACGTAAAATAAGCGTTTTCTTTCGAATTAACCAAACAGATTTCTATCTGTGAACAATATGTAAGACTCGAATTAGCATCTCGTCAATGTATATTCCGGAATTTAATATAATCTCTCTGATTCACGTGGTCATTTCTACCGTTCCTTCGGATTTTGGCTTAAATAAAACACGTCCCTTTCAAAATATATATCTACTATTCACTGTAAAGAAGTCTAGCGGAGTGGCAGAGGGGCAAGAAGAGTCGCTAGGACCTATCCCCACTTCACACGCTTTGTTGACGATCCTCGCGCCACACGCTACAACGGTAGAAGAACTACAATTTGAACATTCAAAATCGTAAAAGTTATTTTCATTTGTGAACGTTACGTTAGTATATTTTCGAAACTATCTATATATAATACATCTAGCTTTTTCGTACAATTATTATCTTAACTATTTAAAGTATTAAACTATCGTTACAAATCGTGATTAACCTACGAGTATTGACGAGAAATAAGAGGTTAGAATTGTCTGGATTCTACGCTAATGCATGGACAAATACAATGGTAGGAAGAAAAATACGAGTGTAAAAATAGACGTTTCGACTCCAAATTAACCAATCAAATTCCACGGGGCTTCTTTTCACCAGTGAACAACATTACATATGCATAATTTTCGATTTCAACTCGGTGAATTTCTTCGAAGATTCGTTATCGATTCGTGAAGAATGAAGGAAGAAGGGAAAAGAAGAAAATTGGAATACGAGGAAGATCGTAAGGGCGAGTTTTAATTTGGACCTTCGTTCTCCGCATTGCGAACAGGTTTGATAAACGATGATGCATCGAAGCGCAAAAATACCGAACTCGAATTAGCGCTAGAGCTAATGAAACGAAGATTTCACTTCCGTTCGTACAGAATTCCTTCGATTCACGTTCCTTCGTGCTAATTGTCCCCCTGCAATTTGTGTAAACAGTGGAAAATATTATCCAATGATAAACGAATACTTGGAATCCTCGAATACCCAAGGTTGTGCACAATTTTACATCCATCGCCTTTCCTTCTCTTTAACTCACTCTTCGAAATGTAATTTTCATTACATACGATTTTACAGATCATTCCTCTCCCCCCTCCCTTCGATTCTTCTCGTATCTCGACACTTTTTCGAATTTTTAATCCACGGATCCACGTTTCTCTTAACCCTTTTACACACCACGGTTTATCACTCTCAGAAACAATAAAAAAAGAAGAAGTATGGCTTAATTCGACGCATGAAGGAAGCTCGAAAAACGATACGGACAAGTTGGCCAGGCGGTGATACAACCGCCGGTCGTAAAACGATTTTATCGCGGTCTTGGCAGATTGTCCTGGCCGGAAACCGGTCGGGTATTAAAATATAAAGCAACGGCGGGTGGCGGGTTATTATACCCGGTGTTTACACCCCTGGTGAAACGTCAGGGTGGACGGGCATTTACCGGTGGGCAAATGACGTTCACGAGCTTCACGCCCATAAATTGTAACCCGAGCGGAACGCGGCTTTTCTTATTTACACACACACACACACACACACCCTGAATATCGCTTCAACAGAATCAGATTTGCGCTGCAATCTCATCCCCCGTCATAAGAGAGAGGCGTGGGTGAAAGCTGAAGGAGAAGGAAAGGAGGGAGGGGGGAGGGAAGGTTGCGAGGGGAGAAACGAAGGCGAAGACGTGGTAGAGACGTATGTGCGCGCTCGAAGGAAAGAAGGGTGATGATAATTAACGCGTTAAACGTAGAGAGGAAAAAGAATTACGCGGTAAAATTACTGGAAAATACTGGAAGAATATTGGCACACATCGAGAGATATCTTGAGATTTAAAGGATTAGATTATTAAGCGATAATTTCATTGTTCAGGCGTTTTCCAGAAAACGTTAGTGGAAATTGGAATTAATAATATTATACATAGATCGAGATATTTTGACGTTTAAATGCATAAGAGATTAGATCATTAAATGATATAAATGATGTATTCAGTGGTGAAAACGTATTCTTTCTGGAAGAATATTGGCACAGATCGAGATATCTTAGGACTTAAGATGTATAAATAAGAGATTAAGCGATAATTCAGTGTTTAGCGTTTTTCAGAAAATGGATTATTGGAAAATGGGAGAATATATTGGCATGGATTAAGATATTATTAGATAAGAGATTATTAAATAATTAATATTCAGCGATGATAAGAAGTACACGCGATGATGATGTATTCGTATTAGATACAAAGGAAAGCGAATTGCTGGAAAGTGGAAGAGTATTAACATAGATCTTAAGACTCAAGTACATAAATAAGAGATTAGATTATTAACCGATAAGTCGATATTTAGCGAAAGTGGAAAAATATTAGTGCGAAGGAATGTAAACGTGTCGAACGACGAATTAAATGTTTATGATCAATAACAATAATTAATTTTATTTATTATTCAATATATCATTTTCCATATAATTTCCCACCAAACGTACATCACGATAAATAAACGATAAAATATAGAAGGGAGCGAACGTGTGTGCGCGTTTTATGTCACGCGCGTGTATATACATACATATATATATTTATCTTAACGCGCAGTGATCTGGTAATAGTGGCCTGGAAAATGAATATTTCAGCGGCAATTTTAATGTAAACTACGTTAACGCGGGACGATCCCCGGTGGCGGCGTCTCGATTCAATTAAAAAGCAATTGTACCATCGACGGAATGAATTATTCAAGACCCCTCTCTTGCTCTTGTAACAAAAAAAAAAAAAAAGAAAATACACACACAACCACGCACACAACAATGGATTCCGGATCGTGTAAAAATCTTGGGGGGAAAAGAAAAAGAATTATAATTGCTTTCTCGGCCAAGTAATTGTGAGCGGCTCGTTCGTCGAATATTCAATGCGGCGCGCCGCGTATGCGCCACGCATCGAGACGCGAAACGAAGATAATTCAGCCCAATCAGTTCTTCCGGTGTCTAATTAAAATTTCCTGCCGACCACCGCTCCACGCACTCTGTCGCCGGGAATTTTTCCACGGATCAACGAACGATCCTCTCCCAGTTTCACGCGGATCGCGCGTGTAAAACTCGCCACTTTGCCGCGAACGACTTTCGCATCGAACCTTCGAGTATGTATGGTCGGTGGATTCGAATAATACGAGATAGCTGAACAAGATTATTTTCTTCTTTCTTTCAAATTACTTCTCACAAAAATCTGACTAAATATAATAAAAAGAAGAAAGAAAATGATCAATATATAAAGAGTACATAAATATATGCAAATATACGAATGTTCGAACCAATAGGATAACCGTGAAAAATGTACGGGTGGCAGATGTGGCAGTGAAAAAAGTCGTAGCAGGCAATCAACTTGGAAAGCGTTTCGAATTTGACGAGCGCACGATAAACTCGAGTATTGGAAATGGAATGTTTTCAAGAACGGATGTTAAGGAGAAATGTTAATATTAAAAAAAAAAGTTGTGGCTATTCGCTACGGGATGTTCTTGACAATCTCAAATCTTGATTTCCCGTAAATTATCCGACAAACAACAAACAAAATAACAAAATAACGATAAAAACGATAAAATTGTATGAAGATATATGGCATATCGATCGTTCAAAGTTTGAAAGGAATAAAGAGGTTGCCAATTAAAGTTAGGAATATTATTATTAACGATATTATTTTAATATAAGATAACTTAAAATTAATTTTAATATAATTTTGCAAAGTTTTGCGAATCGAATATGGCAGTAAAAAAAAAAAAAATAAAAACGTAGAAAGTTTCTAACTTTTCGCATGTGTGAACGATGTATAAAAACGTATAAAAAAATCATTGACAAATCGTTACATTTCCAATACGAAGTAATTACTTAACTTTAATATATAAAAAATTCATCGATAATTTATAAGGATTTAAATTAAAATATACGATTTCGAGATGTTGCATCCGTTATAAAATTGAAATTTAAGCGCTTTTTAAAAAATTTTTTATCGATCTGTTCTCCGCCTATATTTACGTATATTTCGTTCGATAGATATAAACGTTTAAAAATAGAATTTTTAAATTTTAATGTACAGCTATTGTTACACATCGAAATAATTACCTTTTATACATTCGAAAATTAATTTTGTCCAGTTAATATACCACGCTATTTGAACCACTGTTTCGACGTGTCGAGATAAATAACAACGTGTTCTCGATTTTTAATCGCACCACTTACCTGAAACAAAAAGAAAAAAATAATGTGCATCGGTTGTCTCGTTCGATCGAAAGATATAATGAAGAAATTCGATAAAATTTAAAAACGTTCAACGAACGCGAGAAGTTGGAGAATCTTTGCATGACTATGCAAGAATGGATGGAATACGTTTTCTTCTTTCAGAAATGGCTGCGAAGTTTGCTCGAATAAAGAAGAAAGGGGGAAAGTGTGCTTTTGGTGGGATAAAAGGCGGAGAAAAAGCGGTCGGCGAGGAAAAAACCTATTCAGGGGGGAGGGGAGGGCA